TAGATAACGATTTATCACAAATTCAGGGGAAAATGTATTTCAAATTATAAGAAATTGGTTGTATTAAAACTACAAAAAACGGTGATGCAGTAACTTGAGTCATGAGAGAGTACAGTATTTCCTTGAAGGCCCTACTTATTTCACTAACGAGTTACTAAAAATTGATCAGTAATGAAATGTTTGTGTAGATCTACATAGTTCGGGTGCTCAAATTAAACATAGGCCTACATTGAAACTCAAATTGGCTTTATGAATAATATTTTTGCTTTTGTACCTATATTACCAACAAACACTCCCTGAAATCGTTTTATAACAGCTTAAAAATGCTCAGATCGTCGGAGCGGCGGGGGGAGAGTGTGGTTACCCTGTCACTTGCCTCCCTCCCCACTCCAGCAAACTAGTATAGTCACACACGCACTTTAAATCTCTCAGGTTGGTAACTATGCAATGCATTTCTTCATTATGTAATGGGAAAAAAATATTCAGTGCATGATTTCTTTCCAATGATACCACATAATACTATGTTTGACCAGATGCGTCCGCCATCTTGTTTTCCAAGATGGCGGCCAGTTAACCTTCTCGAAAAAAATTGGCAACAACGTTTTTCTTGTTCTGGCGAGTACAGTACTAATTAACAAATAAGTTAACTACTTCCATTGAAGTCACATTTGTGACAATTGTTTTTTTTTCTTTATTTCCTTTTATTTCGTTATTTCGTTTTGTACAGAACTATATTATTACGAAAAATGCGTCTAATAGGCCTAAAGTAAATTAGGCCTATATACCGTCAGCGCCAAAAAAGAGTGTTAATATTATTTTTTTTATTGTTAATTCTGAACTCGCCAAACTAGGCCTGTGGTTGAAGTACAGGTCTTCCTCCAATTAAAAACCCCTTTTGGGACGGCGTTTTAGTGGTCTTTACCATCTTTGGTCTCTAATTATAATTCCTCTATGAAGACCTTCACTATGATTCTTAATAATCCACATTAAGTCCACTGATGGCGCCAATACTAGTGATTTTTCTAAGACTTTTTTTCTAAAAAGTTGTTTGATGAAAAACTGAGCAACAGTGAACGAGATACAAATTTTTGAATATTTAAAAACTGGAAGGAAAAGGGGTGTAACCACCCATTTTTTCACCTTATTCTCCCAGTTTTTAAATATTCAAAATCTGTATCTCATTCACCGTTGCTCAGTTTTTGATAAAACTATTTTTTCGGTCTTTGAAAAATCAGTTCTACAACATATCAAATTTATTTTTTCCTCCGGAGCCTGACTTTAAATCTTTGTCACGAATGGCAAGTATCATCTTATACTCTGTATTATTTTGATGTGTATAGTCATTTTATTTAATATTTTCTTTAACCTTAATTAATTCATTCATCACCACATCACTGTACAGTATATGTATTCATTATTTGAAGGATTGGGTCTGCAAGGGGACACCCTCTTAATCCTCCAGCACCTTCATTAACTTGAGTTTGTATTTGATTGATTTTTACTGTTTATTACGGTAATTTTCCAAAAAATATAGGAGACGTATGCCCTTTACGCCCCCTTTAATTCCGCCACTACATTGTGTTTGAATGTTTTATTCCATCAGTCAAAAAAAGTATGTGCTATTAAACATATATAACTGATACTGTTAATTTAACGCAATATGGTGTAGTCGTACTCGTAGTGCATGTTCAAGTTACTTTAACGAGTTTACAGAAAAAGGCACTTCATGCTATACCTTGGTCGAAGTACAATGTTTTAATTGTGGTCAATAACAAATAACATGAGCAGTATTTTAAGGAAATGAAAAATGGCAAATCTGAAAAATTTAAATCGTTGTACAGACAGGACCTTCCGTCAGCTCAGTGTCGGATCCATAAAATTCGAAATACTGGGGCTGTATGTATCACCCACTAATGTAGACAGATTTCTATCACCACACCAGCTGGTGGTGGAGCCGGCGGGCGGGGGGGGGGAGGTTTAGCCAGGACTGGCCGTCGG